GTAAAATGGTTTATTCTTTTGCTAAAAGAAAATTCCATTGGTAAAGTTTTTTGAATGTTATGTTTAATTCTGAAAATATGTTCTTTTCTTTCGATAATTAAATCAATTAAACGTTTTTTTATTTCACAAAGAGTTGATGTCTTGAACATCTAGAATTTCAATTTATATAATATGTATAGAAACAAAAGTATAAAACAGTTAGTCTTTTTTTTGTTGTTTTCTTTGTTTTTCGTGATGTGGTGTTTCGATTCGCATTTGACTTTCCAGATTTGGATTTGGCAAGCTTCTGTTGTTCCTTTTGCTTGATTTCTTCCAAAAACGAGTCGCTAGTAACAATTTCTCCGAATTTTCTTTGTTGTCTAACACGTGTACTCGGTGCTTTTGGTGCCGGTGTCGATAGACGTGGTTCTGTGTTCAATAAGTTATTATAAACTGTTGCAGCAGCTGTTGCAGGAGTTGACAATTGTGGTAAGCATAAATTCGAATCCATAGATAAAGTAGAAGTTGATAAATTGTGAGAAGGTGAAATAGATAATGAAGGTGAAGCCGAGATTGATGACAATGTCATATTATTCAATTCAGTATACGTTCTTGATGATGAATTCACTAAAAATTCCTCATCTTCGTCATCATCGGTTTCATCTTATAAGTGTAAAGAAAAAAAGAAATAATACAATTGTTCCTATAGTAGAGTAAAAGATTTACTTTGCATGGCAGGTTTTACCATTTGCATCAAAGATAAATCAGAAAATGTTGTATGTTTTTGTAAAGCACCTTGATCAGATCGCAATAGATCAAATCTAAATGAAAAAAAAACACATTTATAGTAGAATCGAAAAAATCTTACTGTTCATTGTCATTGATGAAATGTTGATCGACAACATCCACTGGTGATTGATGAATTGAAAAACCACTACTTGAGGCAGAAGATGATTGATCCACATTAACATGTCTGTAAATAAAATTTCGTTGCTTTAATTCTGGACAAGACAACTTACGAATATATATTTGGATGGCTAAATACAGGAGTTGGTAAAAGATGGTTTTGTGCAGCCAAATCGACATCATCATGAATTAATCTTTGCTGTTGCTGTGCACCCCTATAAANCTGCTTCTATAACCTGCACAGTAAAATGACGATTATGGCCGTCCAATACAAGCAAAACAGGACGAGGTACTGATTTTATTTCCATCAGGAAAACATTGGTAAACCAAAATGCAAAAACTTCATCATTTATCCAACCATTATCTGTACAACAGTATGCTGAACGAGCAGGCCCACCTTCTATCCACTGGTTATTAACATGTTTTGCTGCATACACTGTGAGTGGTGGTAAGACGTCACCTTTAGCATTGACAGCTATGATTATTGTTGTAAATGACTTCCCTGTACCACCGTTTTCTTCGTATTTAATTTTTGTATCAGATGGTACCAATACTAATTCACCTGAATTATGAAAATAAGTTTTAGCAAAAAATGTAGTCTTGATAGTTTATGCTCCATGACATTTCATGAACGGAAAGTAAATAAAGTATTGGATAATAATTGGTCATCTTAGAAAAGTAAATTTTGTCACTGAAAGCTAGTTCAGGAGAATCTCATTAACCCTTTCTAATTCGTACGATGCTCATGCAAAATACTAACCTTCACCTATTTGCCTGTCCATCCCGATACATTAGCGACAAATTTGTCATTCATAATCTTGATCTTTGTATTTACTTGCATTCTTATTTATGTTAGGGGATATCAGACTCACATATCGCTATGGTAGTGATGAGTGAAACCAATAGTTTTCGGTACTGGTCCTTTTCTAGTTTCATTTCCGAAATAAAGCGCAGTTGATTCCGACAGATTAATAGCAAGATATATTCTTCGTCCTCATCCCTATCAAGAAAGAACTGGTTCCCACTCTAGTAACAAAAAGAATTGAATTCGTCGTGGTCTCGATCTTGCTGGAATCGGACCAGGACCAAATTGTTTATGTGTGCTATACGCTAAAACGAATCTAGTGTTCTAAATTAAAAATAAAACTTACGCTGAGTATCATCATTGAAACCACATTCGTCTACGTTATATATTTGAGCTGGTTTGTCGAATAAATTTTGTGATTGCATAACATTAAAAAGAGTATCGAACCAGCCACTACGAACTGTTTCTGTAAATCCATCCTTTCGACAACGTTCCAATTTTTGTTCTTTGATAAACTTTATTTTGTTTTTGTTTCGAAGAAGAAAATCATGAAACCAACGACGTCCTAATGGTTCTAGTAAAAAAAAGAAAATTATTTCTATAATATTTCAACTTGTTCTACAAGAAACTCTAAAGGTTTGATACCTTCCTTACAAAGGTGGTTTGAACGCAATCTACTAATTTTTTCTTTTAAGTTTTTGTCTTGAAACAAGGGAAGATTCTTCTATTATTGAGCAAATTAATGACTCAAAGACTAAAGATTAGTCACATAAATAAAAATAAATTATTGTGCTAGGACTCGGAAAAAAACGCATGCAAACGGGGATACACAGGTATTTAGTCAAAATCAACTTACGTGATTTTTGTTTAAGTGTTTCAATATAATCTTGACTAATTTTCATAACTTTTTTTTTTGTTAAACGAAAGCCTGTTTGTTCTAAATCCAATAATAGTTGAACTAAATAGTCTTCATGATTTCTCTTGAGCAAATAAGGTCGACCAGATCCGATGTTCAATGCTGGTCGACGTTTATGGTTACGGATAGTACTTTCTGGGTGTGGGTGTTGGTGTGGGTGTGGGTGTGGGTGTGGGTGTGGGTGTAGGTGTGGGTGTAGATATTATTTTTACCCACACCCACACCCGTACTCACGCTCACAGCACACACACACTCACACCCACACCCACGCCCACACCCACACCCACACCCACACNTAGCTACAACATACTAGCGGTTCAACTAAAACAAATAAAAAATCAATTCTAAAATATGAAATTTCTTTGATCTGTCCTATTGTAGGAAAAACTATGAAAATTTTTACATGTATCTTTCTGATTCTGGTTAATAAGAATACAGGTAGGGCACAAATAAATAAACAGTAAATAGTGGAATTATTTGTAATGAAAACGAATTATCGATGTCATCAATTTCTAATGATTTCATTGCTATTGCCATACGTAAAATGGCTTATTCTTTTGCTAAAAGAAAATTCGATTGGTAAAGTTTTTTTAATGTTATGTTTAATTCTGAAAATATGTACTTTTCTTTCGATAATTAAATCAATTAAACGTTTTTTATTTCACAAAGAGTTGATGTCTAGAACATCTAGAATTTCAATGTATATAATATGTATAGAAACAAAAGTATAAAACAGTTAGTCTTTTTTTATTGTTTTCTTTGTTTTTCGTGATGTGGTCTTGTTTCAATTCGCATTTGACTTTCCAGATTTGCATTTGGCAAGCTTCTGTTGTTCCTTTTGCTTGATTTCTTCCAAAAACGAGTCGCTAGTAACAATTTCTCCGAATTTTCTTTGTTGTCGAACACGTGTACTCGGTGCTTTTGGTGCAGGTGACGATAGACGTGGTTCTGTGTTCAATAAGTTATTATAAACTGTTGCAGCAGCTGTTGCAGGAGTTGACAATTGTGGTAAACATAAATTTGAATCCGTAGATAAAGTAGCAGTTGATGAATTGTGAGAAGGTGAAATAGATAATGAAGATGAAGCCGGGATGGATGACAGTGTCAAATTATTCAATTCAGTATACATTCTTGATGATGAATTCACTAAAAATTCCTCATCTTCGTCATCATCGCTTTCATCTTATAAATGTAAAGAAAAAAAGAAATAATACAATTGTTCCTATAGTAGAGTAAAAGATTTACTTTGCATGGCAGGTTTTACCATTTGCATCAAAGATAAATCAGAAAATGTTGTATGTTTTTGTAAAACACCTCGATCAGATCGCAATAGATCAAATCTAAATGAAAAAAAAACACATTTATAGTAGAATCGAAAAAATCTTACTGTTCATCGTCATTGATGAAATGTTGATCGACAACATCCACTGGTGATTGATGAATTGAAAAACCACTACTTGAGGCAGAAGGTGATTGATCCACATTAACATGTCTGTAAATAAAATTTCGTTGCTGTAATTCTGGACAAGAGAACTTACGAATATATATTTGGATGGCTAAATACAGGAGTTGGTAAAAGATGGTTTTGTGCAGCCAAATCGACATCATCATGAATTAATCTTTGCTGTTGCTGTGCACCCCTATAAATTTTATTAAAAATTATCATATATGGTATATTAAAGTACCAGGACTGAAACCGACAGAATACTAAAAATCTCGCATACAAAATACATCAAGGTATAAAGCAAAATATTTAAAAAATTCATTTATCAATAAGTGGTGTGTTATGAGGCTTGTATGAACTAGAAATGGTCGCCTGTCTTTTCATTAATACACAACAAAGAAACCAAATCAGTCCATACGTACTCACATTTAGTTATTTTTCATCAAAAAATCTACTTTAGGAATACAATACCTGTTGTTTTCATTATCACGATATTCAATATTCGCAATTACTGAATTTAGAAGTTGAATAGCTTGATTCGTGGTTGTTGGAAGAGGAACAGCAGATGTTGATTGAATATTGTACCTTGATGAACTACTACCACTAATTAAAGATTTTCTTGATGAGATAGATTAAGCCTCTTCTACTTACCCATTAGATGAAAGATCAAAATTATTTGATAAAGAAACATTCAACATGGAATTCGATAAGAGTGGCATATTATCAATAGACATAGGTGGACAACGAATACTATAAATGAAAAGAAAATGTCCTTCATTAGTAAAACTTTACTCGAAATTCATTATTCTTCTGATAAGATAATCTACGAAAATGAATATTGAAAAATTATACTCAATATCGCGAATTGCATATGCGCTTTTACAGTGAAGAGGACGCTCAAGAAGAATGAATAAAAGTATAGAGAAGTCATAGAAAGTTTCTCAAAAACAAAAAACAAATTTAAGCCAAGGAAATACTTCCTGTATTTCTATTTGTATGTACGAACCACTATTGAGAACAATAAAATAAATTTCAAACCTGAATAATTGATTGCGAGACGTGTTCACCACTTTGTCTTTCATTACAGTACGATCAAAGGGCCAAATTCCAGTTCGAGTAAAGCCTGCAACGACTTGACGAGGAGTAAATGCCCTATTGTACAGCTTATTTAATAATACTGGATGATCAATTTTGCGGATCGTTTTTCGATGAGTTCGTTCAAAATATGATGATACGATTTTTTTCCAAGATGTTTTCACTAGAGTAAAAATGCAAAGAAAAACATGCCGAGAAGTTTTAAAAGAAAACAACTTATCCGAAGGTGACCAAGTCCAACGGTTGCAAACCGTGAGTACAATGTGGTGGTAAACACACAATGATAATATCATTTTGTCTAGCTGCTTCTATAACCTTCACAGTAAAATGACAATTATGGCCGTCCAATACAAGCAAAACAGGACGAAGTACTGATGGTATTTCCATCAGGAAAACATCGGTAAACCAAAATGCAAAAACTTCATCATTTATCCAACCATTATCTGTACAACAGTATGCTGAACGAACAGGCCCACCTTCTGTCCACTGGTTATTAACATGTTTTGCTGCATACACTGTAAGTGGTGGTAAAACATCACCTTTAGCATTGACAGCTATGATTATTGTTGTAAATGATTTCCCTGTACCACCGTTTTCTTCGTATTTAATTTTTGTATCAGATGGTACCAATACTAATTCACCTGAAATATGAAAATAAGTTTTAGCAAAAAATGTAGTCTTGATAGTTTATGCTCCATGCCATTTCATGAACGGAAAATAAACAAAGTATTGGATAATAATTGGTCATCTTAGAAAAGTAAGTTTTGTCACTGAAAGCTACTTCAGGAGGATCTCATTAATCCTTTCTAATTCGTATAATGCTCATGCAAAATACTAACCTTCACCTACTTGCCTGTCCATCCCGATACATTAGCGACAAATGTGTCATTCATAATCTTGATCTTTGTATTTACTTGCATTCTTATTTATGTTAGGGGATATCAGACTCACATATCGCTATGGCAGTGATGAGTGAAACCAATAGCTTTCGGTACTGGTCCTTTTCTAGTTTCATTTCCGAAATAAAGCGCAGTTGGTTCCGACAGATTAATAGCAAGATACATTCTTCGTCCTCATCTCTATCAAGAAAGAATTGGTTCCCACTCTAGTAACAAAAAGAATTGAATTCGTCGTGGTCTCGATCTTGCTGGAATCGGATCAGGACCATATTGTTTATGTGTGCTATACGCTAAAACGAATCTAAAGTGTTCTAAATTAAAAATAAAACTTACGTTGAGTATCATCATTGAAACCACATTCGTCTACGTTATATATTTGAGCTGGTTTGTCGAATAAATTATGTGGTTGCATAACATTAAAAAGAGTATCGAACCAACCACTACGAACTGTTTCTGTAAATCCATCCTTTCGACAACGTTCCAATTTTTGTTCTTTGATAAATTTTATTTTGTTTTTGTTTCGAAGAAGAAAATCATGAAACCAACGACGTCCTAATGGTTCTAGTAAAAAAAAGAAAATTATTTCTATAATATTTCAACTTGTTCTACAGAAAGCTCTAAAGGTTTGATACCTTCCTTATAAAGGTGGTTTGAACCCAATCTACTAACTTTTTCTTTTAAGTTTTTGTCTTGAAACAAGGGAAGATTCTTCTATTATTGAGCAAACTAATGACTCAGAGACTAAAGATTAGTCACATAAATAAAAATAAATTATTGTGCTAGGACTCGGGGAAAAACGCATGCAAACGGGGATACACAAATACTTAGGCAAAATCAACTTACGTGATTTTTGTTTAAGTGTTTCAACATAATCTTGACTAATTTTCATAACTTTTTTTTTTGTTAAACGAAAGCCTGTTCGTTCTAAATCCAATAACAGTTGAACTAAATAGTCTTCATGATTTCTCTTGAGCAAATAAGGTCGGCCAGATCCGATGTTCATTGCTGGTCGACGTTTATGGTTACGGATAGTACTTTCTGGTACACCATAGAATTTAGCTGCATCCACCGATGACATTGATCCAGATGAGTAGGCATGAGTTGCCTGTTGAAGATTTTCAGAAGAATATTTTTGATGAGATCGTACCATTTGAAATTTGAAATTTGAAAATTGATTGACTTTTTTTATAGACGTAAATAAGCAGAAAGTAAAATAAATAATATTCTCAAAAATTTAATATATATAATTTATCTAATGATAGACAAAATGTACTGATTATATTCTTAATTCAATATGTGAACATTGCGTATATCAGACACATTACATTCATTCGAAAAAAAAAAATTCATGACGTATCTCGTCGAGTATACAAGAGTAAAATATGTCAACCGTCCGTCAAATTTGACATATATAAACAAGAGCTAGATGTTTTTTTCTTCCTTCACGTGTCAAACGTTGAACATGTTTGATTATTACGTCCAAACAGTACAAAAAAAAAGAAAGCGTTAAATTAAAGGACCTGATTTCACTACAACCTTCAATCTTTAAAAAAAATAACTGAATATTTTCTGCCATTTTACCAATTATTTCATTGCGTTTATTTAGCATGTGGCATTTACAAAGCTATAACTGATGTTGACCAGGACTTCTATCTATGTATATCCAAATTGATTATCTAGACGATTCATGACAATAGCGAGTTACTTATATTAAAAACTGAGTCGCAAATTATACTAGATAAGAACAAAAACAAATAGAAAAAAAAACATTCTTTACATGAAAACTAACATTCAAACTACGCGATAGTTCTGCATGAACATCAGCCAAAACATAGATGTACAGGAATTCATAGGCATCATTGACTAGCGATCAACATGCGATGATCTCTAGTGAAGCAATTCATTCATGAGATATACAAT